CTGCTGGTCCTGCAGTAGATCTATATAAACGATTGGCGTATATCCCTTGTAAGGCAATCCTGGCCTGTGTATGTAGATAACTGAGTAATGACTGTAAGCGGTGAGTTTCATATAAGCGAGGGGATCCCTAGTTCTGACAGGGGGTTTAGAAGCTGCAATGCGACCCGCCTTACGTAAGTTCGCGCCAGGCTCAGAAGAGAACAGCCCATGTCGACTTTTCTCCCTTTGAACCATCAAGAGTCTCTGACAGAGTCTCTACCAGTGTTACGATGGACTTCAATCATTTGATTTCAAGTCTCGCAAGAGAGAGCGAATTCTTTTTCCCCAAGAAGACATGGGATCCATTGTGGACATAAATACTTACTCAAGTAAGTCGGGGATATCATCATTCCTCTCGTCTGATACTCAGGTATAAATAACACAGGTACGTGCCAGAAAATTCTTTCTTCAAAGCTCATATCTGAACTCTTTGTTCTCAAGATCCGTCAAATCCCAGAATTCGTGATTTTCTTCCACCTTGTAAGTATCCCCGAGAGCCGCCTTCTCAGCATCCCGCTTCTTGTTCCTCCTTTCCAACACCCAACGCATCACAAACAGGTCAACAGTGACCAAGAAGTAGATGATGCAGATGGAGATTTTGGCAGGGAGATACCGCGGCGCACCCCGTGCCTGAAAAGTCTGCGGGGAGATGATATTACCCACGGTGTACGCGATCGTCCCAATGCATGCCACCGTAACCTTCTTAGTGGATCCCGCAACATTGGTTGACTGAAGACCCAGGATCGTCGTCCAGCCGATCGGGATACCTCCTGAGGTGTAGTAGCCGATCAGTGCGGGAACCTTCGACGTCGTGGCCATGAGAATGGCACCCACGATCGCGGGGATGTGGCCCGCAATGCACCAGTAGAGTCGCTGCCGTGTCTTCATGGCAAGCCATGTCAGACCCACCAGGGCGACAATCTCGTAGGCGCCAAGAGGTGTGACCAGAAGCAATGACTCTTCGCTGGAGTAACCCATACCCTTGACGAGGATGTTTCCGAAGCTTGTCGCGATTGAATTGGGAATGTTGGTGGCGAAGATCCAGAACGTGTAGAGCCAAGTCATGGTGTCCGTCAGCGCCTCCTTGACATGCGACCACTTGAACTCCTGAGATCCGATGCCTTGTTCGTTGTCGCGGATGCGTTCCAAGTGCGCGGCCTTTTCTTCTTGTGAAAGGAAGGCAGCTGAGGCTGGCGAGTCAGGCATGATAAACCAGAAGGCAATGCCCACGACGGCAGTCAAAAGGCCGAGGAAGAGGAAGATGACCTGCCATCCATGCAAAAGAGCTTTTGGGTCTTTGCCAACATGGACAGCCACGCCGTATGCAAAGAAGCCGCCAAACATTTGCGCCGCTCCGCAGACCGAGAACCAGATGCCAACGCGAAAAGCCTGCTCTTATTTCGTGTACCATTGCGAGGTAAATAGGACCCACGCAGGTACCACGGCAGCTTCAAACACTCCGAGGAGAAGGCGACAGACGAGCAGACCGGCGTAACTCTTGCACGCAGCAAGGCACGCGAGAACCAGACCCCAAAGCATGATGTTGATTGATGTGTATTTGGCCAAAGGAAACATCTGAATGAGACGGATCGTCGGGAACTCGAAAGCCAATTGACCGAAGAAGAAGATGGATGCGACCCAGTTAAACTGGTTGCCGTGAAGGCCGGTGTCTTGTTGAATGCCAGTAACGCTGGCGTAGGAAATGGCGGTCTTGTCGATGTATTGGAGGAAGTACACAATGCAGATGAGCGGCATGATGTGAGTGTCTATGCGGCGCTTGAGCCTGCGATTGAGCTCTGGATCGACGGCGTGGCCCAGAGGGCCGGTCTCGTTGAGAAGCTCCAGAGCGACATCAGCGCCAGACATAGGCTGCTTCTTCGGTAGGTGGTCCGGCGACGATTCCGTCGGAGCGGAGGTAATGGAGGCGGGCCGCTTGTCGGCGTCGGTGGGGAGATCGGTGGCGGGGCCATCCGCCGGCCCCTTTCCGTTGATGTCGGCCATGTTGTGACGTTGCCGAAGGTTCAAGTGTGGGAAACGGGAATCAAGAAAGGAGGTGAGATCCCAGACACGATCCAGAGTCATGCAGCGACGGACGATCACTATTTATCGGTCATGCAGCAAGCCCTGTTTGAGCACATCATCAACGCCGAGAGCGAACGATTGCGGTGGCTGGCGATATTTTCCAGAATGATGCGCCAAGGTGCAGAGATCAAGAGTTTTTTCAATTGGAGCATCCACACATTTCCGATAAGAGACTGAAGCTCCGCTGGTGGCGGACGTATCAAGAGCTTGAATCTGACCATTATCATCCTTCGATCAAGCACGTCATTGTCGAGTCGATGGTGCGGGTCAACTAAAGCGTTGCATTTTGCTACTCGGCCCCACTCTCTCGGTCTGCTGCCGACATGTTCCGGACGACGGCCCCGGGTTCTTGAATCATGCGCAATTCACTGTCACAACTATCATCGGGACTTGGTAATGCTGTCAATGAGGAACCTAGATCATAAGTCGGAAAATTCTTGCACATCTGCCCTCTTTATGAAATGAGGTTGACATTATCACGAGCCTACTTCGTTCAAGTCGCTTGGTCAACGGTCTTGTCTTTGCCAAACATTGAGATACAGGTCTTAACATCACGGAAGAACGTAGCCTCAATGATACCACAGTTTAACAACAGAATGAGTTGATCCTATCTAGCCCGCCGATGAACAGGAAACGGGGCAAACACGAAGACTTTAGCCCTGTCTGGGTGTCAACTTAACCCACAGTCCCGGTTTCATCCAATTATTGTACACCGTTAGTCCGGGATAGTCCTTTTCAGGATTCCACGCATCGTTACTTCCGTGAAATTGGATGTCGTTGTGCCACAACAATTTGCCAATGATTAGACGCATCTCCATGTACGAAAGGCTTGGCTTTGGTCAGCAAAAGGCTTCGATGAGGAAATTCTAAGAGTAGCTTACTTGCGTCCAATACAGCCTCGTGGCCCAAGAGAGAATGCATTTGATGCACTAAACTTGTCGGTGCTGTTCTCTTTATCTAGCCAGCGCTCGGGCAGAAATTTGTAGGGTTCTTTGAAGTTGCGTTCGCTATGCGTGGCACCCCACATTGGCACAGAAACAGTTGTCTGCCAAAACGATGTCAGCCAGAAAATCAGTTCATGACTTCCATTGCAAGTCTGAGCAATGACATACGCCTTCTGGTATGAACGCCCCGTCAACGGTATCACCTCCTTGTGGCACTGTCCTCACAAACCCAATCGGTGCAGATGGGAAGACTCTCAGGCCTTCATCAATCACCGCACTCAGATAAGGCAATTTGACCAAATCCTCGAAGTTAATGTCAGCGTCGGATTGAAAGTTCAACCGTATCTCGTCAGTCAGCTTGTGTAAAACTCGTGGATGCCGCAGAAGTTGGTTGAAAAGCCCCGCAAGGAAGCCTGCTGTTGTTTCTGTCCCAGCAATTCTGTGAGGTTGTCAGCCCTGTTCGACTCAATACTGGGCACTTCTGGGTTCCTGCGATCAAACATCTTACATGAAGAGTGCACCATTGACAATAACCTCGTTCTCATTGATAGACCCACTTTCCTGTTGCTTAAGCAAGTAGTAAAGAAAGTCTTTATGATCTGACCCAGACTGAGCCATGCGTCTAACAATGGAGTTATCAGCATTCTGTTGTAATAACTCATCCACAATGTACCTACTTTAGGATCTTTTCCCTACTGTACTCGAGGTGTTGTATCCGGGTAGTTCGAATGCGCCCAGGTATCAACTTCAGAAGTTGCCTTTGGAAGTAGCCGTCCGCTTCAGCGATTCGTCTTGTAGCCTGTTCAAAGGCACCCGCCTTGATGGATGAGCTGATGAGCGGTACCCAGAAATGAAAATCCTCTATACCATGCACCGTTAGAAGCAAGTCATGAAAAACGATAGTCGATTTAAGACCCACCGCTTGTCAAGCACCCGAATGGCTCTCCCAAAGCCATATCTCCGATAATATCGAACATTGTGTATGCGAACCAATCAACGACGTTCACAGGCTTTCCGAGCTTGGCAGACTCCCTCATCTTCAGCGAGAACACGTCAATGTACGACTTTACAATGTACTCCTGCTCCAACAAAGCCTTGGTGGAGAATGCATGCGAAAGCGCCCTACGCTGCCGCGCGTGGTCCGCGTCGTTGGCCATGGTAATCGTGGATACACCAGGCACCGATTGGATACTTCCCACATGTATGGGGTCCTTGTGGAAGTTCTTATGGCCAGGTCGACTTCCGTAAATATCCTTCCATGCAGCTTCATTGTCGAAAGAGAGCTCGTTGGGCGAGACGCGGACGACGGGGCCATATTTGTCGTGGCATGCCTTCACCCAGAACGGGATGCGTCCACGGAGCAGGGCAATTACATACGGAAGCGGTGATATTCGAGCGAGAATGGGCCCTGGAAAGCGAGCGAGTGGGTGGAAGAATAGGTTGTAGACGACGCTCCACAGCGTCCACGCTGAAGTCTGGGTTTGGATGTCAGCATAAAGCTCGGATTTATGGCGAAACGCGGATTTTACTTCCCCCAAGAATGAATGCAAGCAATCCTAAGTGCGCTAGCGGAGTGTCGGCAGTGTTATCTGAGGCTAGCACAGCCATCGTGAACGAACTCAGACGCGGCGTCTCTTGCAGGATTTAGGAGAACGCAAATATGGAACTTAATAATATACGGCTTCGAAGATTAGCATCACAATAGGAATCATTTGGTTCATTCTATCTGGATGAGGCTTTCTTGGTATTTCTATAGCGTCAGATTATTCCCTTCGCGTCTGCATACCCGGAACAAGTGCTTCAGCGCCACAAGCCAACTCTCTCGGTAAAGCTTTTCCTCACCTTGATTCCATGAACATCAGCCACACCGAGAATCCGTTCGAGCGACATTCCGCTACGCCTCCAACTTGTTTCTCCAAGCCTGAAACCAATCCCGGCACATCATTGGCCCAAATGCGTAGCTTCGGCGCATCACCCGTATTTCCGGCCAGCACGCCCTAGAGCGGGGCGGATCCGATCGTTGTGGGGCATTATTTTCGCCGAAACTTCGGAAAATTCTCCACTTCCGGCTGGACGGTTCGGCTCCGGTTGGCCCGAAGCTTACTTCCCAACCCCGCCGGTGCGGGGATCATCGGGAGCAAGTCTGGTGACGTTCAAGATAAGACGAATTTATCGTGAGATCGATGAACTATTAAATACATTGTGTTTAACCCTGATGGCCTGTTGTCTCTTCAGGCTTCTTCATCTCACAGCAACATGGTATCGACATTGAGCATTTCTTGCCTTTGCGGGGCAACTGCGCAACAAGTTAAGGCGCGATGTTCAGAGACAGGGCCCGTGAAGCTGTCAATCAATCACAGCGATGTCGACCGCCACTCCAGCGGTGTTCTTTGCACGTCTTACTACCCGATTGGGCAACCCGATGTCTCTAAAGGTCTCACGAAGCATGAAGGTGCTGAGGGATGGACGAGGTACTTCTGCTCGACCTGCGGTTGCCACGTCTTTCGAAGCCGCGTTGGTGTCATAGCTGTCATATGGGAGGCTGCTACGGGTGTCATTAACGATGCCACCGGGAACGGTGCCAACGGAGATGCGGTCTTTGTCCGGCATACCTCGGTGCCTGACACAAAGGACGGTGGCATTTCGGTATGGCTTTCGGAGATCGACGGGCAAACAATGGAGATACTTCAACACAACGGCGATAACGGCTCGAAAGAGATGCTGCCCTCAGTGCCGTCCCTTCTAAGCCCAGAATCGATGCCAGCCTCATGCGCTTGTGGCACGGTCAGCTTCCACATCACCCGCCCCGACGAAAAGAGCTATGTTCCGCACTCTGGCTACCCCGACCTGCAATACGCCGCCTGCTCGCACTCTGCTGAGTTCATGGGCAACGCCAAAAAGGACAAGTGGTGGATTCGCGCCGACGGGACGAAATACCTCGCAGGAACCTGTGCATGCCGCTCCTGCCGCCTCATCACCGGCTTCGAGATCCAGACGTGGGCCTTTGTCCCGCGCAGCAACATCTTCTTCCACGTCCCCAGCCCCGACGGCCGGCAGGCCGTCATGCCTCTCGACTTTAACGCCCTGCCTTCAGGCATCCTGCAAACGTACGGCTCCTCTCCCGGTGTCCTTCGGGAGTTCTGTGGAAAATGCGGTGCGACGGTCTTTTGGCACGACAAATGGCGTCCCGACGTCATCGACATCAGCGTCGGCCTCTTTCGCGCGAAAGAAGGCGCAAGGGCGGAGACATGGTTGGACTGGTGGACCGAGCGGTGCAGCTTCGAGGAGGAGGCTGAAAGGGGTCGAACAGGAGAAGCCGCGCGCCTCGCACGAAGGCTTGTTGACGGTCTGGAACGTGGCCTGCGCTCAGGGGCAGGGGAAAGTTGAAGGGAGAAGAGAAAAAAGGAAACAAGTGATATTTGTAAAACAAGTCCCAAGAGCCGATGATTTAATCGGTAAGAAAGGTCTGCAATGCCATTTCTTCAAGATCCAAGAATTCCTCAATGACAAATCGTGGCTATGTGTGTCTTGGCAAACGCCTATTTACGGGCAAAAGATGCGATTATCAATATCAATGAGAATAAGGCTGGAAATATGCCCCCCTGAAAAGCGTGGGCCAAGGAACTGGGTGGCAGCGAGTCATCCCATGTGCAACTCTGCCCTGTTTTAGAATGATTATAGCCGCTATTCAATTCGGATGAAACATGTTGGTTGTTATTATTAAGATAGAAGACATAAACGACGTTTGCTGCATTGTTTAAGGGGCTGCTGCGGCCCGCTTTGTTGGTTTCCACCAGCCACATGACTCGGGACAGGTGGGATCTAGCGTCGGCCTGCCCAGCGCCCCGGGCCGGTGGACGACGGACGGACGGACGGACTCTCCTTTGGTGTGTTTTATCGGCTCCGGGGCGATGTGGGGCATGGGGTATTGCGGTGGGCAGTCGGAGCTATGGATTCTCAACATGCTCTAGGCAGTCGGTGATTCTGGTACGGAAGAGACGGCACCGGCAGTTGGTGCTGCGGTGATTTCGTAAAGCTGAGCTCAGCTTTAAGCTGTCGCGCTAGGCTCGCTTGGCAAGCTGAGTGAGAGAAGCGCGCGGGACGCAGCCGAACCCCGCAATCCATTTACTAACTGCCTAGGTAGACTATCTGCGGCTTGCATGGAAGAGTAAAGAAAGGTGGGTTGAATTGCGCTAGTTGAAGAAGGATGAGCGAAGTTGTAGGGAGTTCGGAGAGAGCCTTGCTTTTGCATCCACGTGGGTGGCTTTGAGGATGACATTGAGAGTTGGAAAATAGACACAACGCTGATAATTCGGACATGTTCAAGATAACAGCAAAAAAGCACTGCAGTAGCAAGCATGAAGGAAAGAATGAGGACGGAATAGTCGATTTGTTGACACCTAGTCCCGTCTTACCAAGAATATTTGAAAATAACAATCTGGCAAATACGTGTCTGCATCTGCATTGCCACTTTAGCTTACACCAAGGAGGTCACGCTTCCAAGCTGATTCCAAAACATTTACTATGACAAATGCATACGCTGCGATTGGTCTCTTGAAAAGAGCAGAACACATGCCCTTTCTTCCAAGCGGAATAGTGTGGCTTCAAGCCTCGGCGGAATCTTACATGTGCGTGAGACCTGCATCCATTCCTTTCCGAACTGACAAACTGACATGTTGATATGAGCAGATGCAACAAGTCTCCAGTTTCGTAGGCTACCTTGATTCTAACGCTAACGACTAACCGGTTTCTGCGCCCCAATGCCGGTAATTGGCTGCGCCAACGGCATTCCAACGGCGCGGCCGCCCACCGGCTAGAGGCGCCTCCTGAACGAGGCTTACAACGGTAGCCAATGGGAAATTTCTCATGAGACCACAAACATCCGTTTGGGGAAATAGGGATGAATGAACACTAAGACCAATCCAAAACCGTTTTGAATGCCCAATCCTCTGACTCGCTGGGTCGTTTTAGTTCGCGACAGTCTCGGACTGGAGAGTGAAGACTCTCTCAACAATGAATGAGGGCGATAGAAGTTCAACAAACTTGATCTGAGGCGTCACAACAATGCAAACTGAATGGTTCAACTGACTAGTGTAGCGGTTGTGTTGATAAGAATAATATCACGTGTCGTAAAGCCATGAGAATCTCGATGCAGTGCAGCTGAAACCGTACACCTCTTATCATAGCCTTTGGGCTGCGACTCACCGCAAGTATCACGAACTCGTACACGAACTCATGTTCAGAGTCCAACGGTGCATGCTTACCGTCTCACTTCACAACGCTGCGGTCGTCGTTTCATGGCCGTCTTGATGGAATGTGTGCCCCCAAAGTCACGGTCCTCACATCACGGACCAGACGCTCCTCGGAACCCGCCCAACATCCCCGTCGGGGTCCGAGACGGATGCGGACGCGACCGGTTCATGTCAACGAACGGCTTGCCCCTTCCGATCCAAACTGTATCTCGCGCGACCGCATGAAAGAGCAAATATCATCCCCGGAGGCATTGTACTTCCAGAGTACCATCGCGCTACCCCCTCGGTTCCAGACTATCAGCACAGAGTTTCGGAGCCGAAATAAAGTACACGAGAACGAATAACGCTATACTACCTACCAAACCCATCACATGGAGGCAACCACCTTAACCGGATCAAGCTCAGCCCGCCTCGGTTGCCTGCAAGTCAGAACCGCGATTCTGTGCCTGCCCTTTCAAAGTCAATTGCCAGAGTGGTGGCTTGATTCATTTCCGTCGGAGAGCACGGCATGCAACAGCTGGAAGCGGCCAGTAGGATTGTTATGGTTTATAATCGGGTGTCGTCTGAAAGTTTGCGTTAACGATAGTGAAAGAGGGGCGGTCCTGTATGATTCATCATTGGGTAACTTTGGGCATGTGAGGGTGTGAGATGAAATGACGAAATTGGCCCAAACGCTGGATTGAAATTTCTCCCCTCACGCGCATTGCACCAGAATCCCATGCTTTGCAACACAGCAGAAAGTCTGCCATCAACACCGGACCACCCACGCGCACCCACGCCGCCAGAGAAGTTGAGACTTGGGGGGCGTTTGTCTGTCAACCATATCTTGACGGGCATGCCCAGGGCAACGACGGGCGGCTTCAACGAACAAATTCGGACATATTTCCCGTCGTTGGCGTTGCGACTTGGTGAATGTTTAGATGCCGAGACCAAGATGGTCCGATGCCAATAGGAACATCGGCAAGTGGGTTGGTCTGGTGTCGGCCGAGACCACATCACCCACGTTGGCCCAAGATGACGGTCGCAGGGATGCACGTTGCATATTCCAAAAATTCAACTTGCCCAGAGAAATAGTGCTGCGCGACGCAGAGCAAAGCCAGGCGGCAACACGCAAGCAGAGTAGCACACACATGCGCTTCGCAAGTCATCACATCCCGTCGCCAGCCAGTCACCAACGTCAGATTTGCAGTCGCGCAGCGTTTCTGAGCTGACCTTATTTGCGTCCACCAGCAGGGGACAGCGCAAGTCACAAGTCTGCATGTGATGAGCAGCCACCGTGCCAAGGCTCTTGGCGGGCTATAGCTGTCGTGGCTGTACGGACTATTACTCGCGGGATATGTACTCTGTATCTTGCGCTCCTTTGCTTTGTAATGTAGTAATTTTGTAGTTATTATCTTGTCTGTTTTTTCCTGCTTACTGCAACGTCCTGGTCGGCGACAGCGCAATCAGCCCGCTCACAACATGCAGTGCTGCGCTCAGGGTCTGGTCGCCCGTCTGTCGCCCATCTACCATCCTTAACCGGGCATACCCGAGGTCGCAGGATTTTCGGCCGACAGGTCTAGCTGCATGGAAACAAGGTAACTTCCATTTGGGGGATGGTTTGGGGTGGCCTGCGGGCAGAAACCCAAGAGGGAGGGAAACCTACGCGCATCCCACGCCGTTTCGCAAACCTGTCAAAACCGTCCAAGTCCGGCTGCGGATGGACGGTCGGCGGCGGCTCGCCCGCGCGCGGGGGTGCTCCTCCAAGCCACAGGGCCTCCAACCTTCTCCAACTACAGGTGATGGATATAGGGCTGAGTCAATGCACGATTGATGAAAAAGCTTCCTTCGTCCCATGTGTCTATCTTGAGTGTGTGTGTGTGCTACGGTTGCGTGTATGCGCAATGTGTGTGTGTGTCGGCCGCGGCCGCGGCCAGCTGCCCTCCCTTCCTCTTTCGATCCTCGATCAGGGGAGAAACCTAACCTTACTGCTGCTAGTGTACAGCAAACAGTAGCATGCGTGCGTGATTGAGCTCTTGGGACGCCAGAAGCCCGGGCAGGCTGGCAGGTACTTGTTTGTACCTACTTGCAAATCAGCGTGGCCAGCAGGGTTCTCCTCTTCAACTCCTCTTCGCGGTAGGGGGGCCTTACAGCTTATTTGCCAAGATACATCTGTAGTCGAGGATGACGGAGGTTTCAATTACGCCGCTGCGCGCGGGTTCCTCCGCACAGCTGGGTAATGATCCGACAACGGGGGCCTTCTATTCGTCTTTACAAGGCAATGATGTGAATTCCCAAGGACCAAACGGCCTAATGGCCCAATGGCACGAGTCGGTATAGGGGCCCCAAACTTTATTATATTCAGGAGTGGACTCTTGGACTGGAGTCGCTTAAGAGTCGCTCAGTCACTCAGCCAAGAAGAGAGTGGACGAAGAGTGCCCGCTTGGAAACTGTCATGTCATAATTGGTCGCCATTGGCCCAGCTACCACCTTACTCTTCCAGTGACTTGGCACCGGCCCGCATCGCACAGGTCACGATAGCTCCCCGGATTTGTGACGTTATGCCTGTTACGGACGGGTGGACGGCCTCATCCCAGCTCATTCCCGGCCCTGCCATGGCCACCCCGGCGCACACTCGTCCAACTCCATAGGCAATCGGCGTAGGTTTCATCCAGATGGCCCTTCGGCTAGCGACAATCCCCTCCCAAAAAGTGTGTAAAGCGGGGGCTCCAAAACCGGGGCGTTCCTGTGTAACACATAGTATTCGCTGGCGAGTGTTGCCCATCCCAATCAAAGGAGATTGTACAATGCGGTACACTGGTCAAGCGCTTATTTTGGATCAAAACCCTGCATGTCCCTGCCACGCCCATGTCACTTGTATATACCATGCAGCGCCTTTCCTAGGGATTACACAGGGGTTCCTTTCGACTACTTGGCAAAGACCCGTCTGGCACCTGCTGAAAGGATATCCGCTAAACAACTTTTTGTGGTTTCGCCAGGTCTTGGTCCTTTTTTGTGATTGAGGTTGCAGCCTTGGGAGAGGGCAATACCGACATGACTGCCGTTGTAGGAAGCTTATTACCAAGCCCCCGTCAGACTGGGTACTCACGTACTGCGCAGCTAGGCCTTGGGGAAGGACAAGACATCGCGGCTCAGACTCGGCCTTGGTACTTTGCATTGTTACTAATCGTGGATCTCACTGGAACCAAAATATTCCCACGTGAGTGACAAAGGGTCACCGACCACGAAGAGGAACAGAGGAAACCCACTCCCTTCTTGGTCCCTTGTTGCCTTTGAACGAGAGTTGTGGCGACTGCATCCGGGTTTCATACATATGCCTGGGTTCGTCCCATCTCCAGAGTTCGTGTTTCTGAGCAATCTCCCGGACCAACTCAACAGTCGTCGTCTTCTGAGTCTCACACCAAGTCTCGATCCGACTACTTGATCTCGGCGGTTCACTTGCTCTTTTCTTTTTGGAGCTTGCCTTAGGTCCCAGAAGCAAGAGACATTCTTCACCATGCACGCCAAACTGTCAAACTGGCTGTTAACAGCCTCAACCATCCTGCCGGCCGTCGCCGGTGAGGGATGCCCCTTCGCCAAACGCGACGGCGGCGTCGACAGCTCTCTGCCCAAGAGAGCCACCGCCGAGGGCTTTGGAAGATGCTCGACCATCAGCAACCAGGCTGGCGGCGGCACTCGCAGTCACGACTGGTGGCCCTGCCAACTGAGACTCGACGTTCTTCGTCAGTTCCAGCCCGCGACGAACCCGTACGGCGGCGACTTTGACTACACAGCAGCTTTCAACTCTCTTGATTGTATGTTGAAGCTTCATCATGACTCTTGGGCAAAGAACACGACACTAACAAGGACCACAGACGCGGCTCTCAAGAAGGATCTCACCGACCTCATGACCGACTCCCAGGAGTGGTGGCCTGCCGACTTTGGCCACTACGGCGGTCTCTTCATCCGCATGGCCTGGCATAGCGCCGGCACCTATCGCGCCGTCGACGGCCGCGGTGGCGGTGGAATGGTAAGCCGTTTGTTTTCGGTCTTCTCTCCTTCGTCACCTCCTCGCTCTGCCCCCGCCCCGCCCTCCGATGAGCCCCGGATGGGCGCCCCATCTTTCCTGATTCCAAATTCCCCTCTTGTGTGCCCCTGTCCGTTGTTTACATCGGACTTTGTTGGCTCATTTCACAAATTTTCACCTTCTGTGTTTCCTTCCTTTTTCTTTGCCTCGGGCGGGAGATCAATTGGCTACCCGGAAGATTTCGTCCTATCCCGGACGAGAGCCAAGAGCTGCTAAGGCATCTCCTTGAGTCCTCTGCTCCACACGCACTGCACACAAGCGGACCCTGCCTCTGCCTCTGCCTTGCATCTTATCACACGGTCGCATCACTTTTATTCGTCTCGTCCATCGCCGTTTACTAATATTGGATTTCTCTCTCTTGCAGGGCCAGCAACGCTTCGCTCCACTCAACTCCTGGCCCGACAACCAGAACCTCGACAAGGCGCGCCGCCTGCTGTGTAAGTCGCAAATCCCTGGTCCCTCACTCGCTGGCCGGAGCCACCCCCGAGGCGGGAATCCCTGTTCGTGCACATCATCGACTCACTCGCCACATCACGGCGCACGCCGCCGCACGGGTGGCTGGGATGCGGATGTGGAGGCACAACGGGATGTCTCGCTGGTGGAGAAACTCTGGCCCCCGATGCTACTCTGTGATGAGTGCATTTGTTTGCTCTACCGAGACTGACAATTTCATCTCCTCTGATAGGGCCCATCAAGCAAAAGTACGGCAACAAGATCTCATGGGCGGACCTGTACCTCCTGACGGGCAACGTCGCCCTCGAGTCCATGGGTTTCGCGCCCATTGGCTTCGCCGGCGGTCGCCCCGACACCTGGCAGTCCGATGAGTCCGTCTACTGGGGCGGCGAGACGACCTTCGTCCCCAAGGGCAACGACGTCCGCTACAACGGCAGCACCGACATCAACGAGCGCGCCGACAAGCTCGAGAAGCCTCTGGGAGCCACCCACATGGGCCTCATCTACGTCAACCCCGAGGGCCCCGATGGCTCTTCCGACCCCGCCGCCTCGGCCAAGGACATCCGCGTCGCGTTCGACCGCATGGGTATGAACGATGAGGAGACGGTCGCTCTCATTGCCGGTGGACACGCCTTCGGCAAGACGCACGGTGCCGTCAAGAGTGGTGAGTTTGCTCTCTCTTCCCGTGCTCGTTCCGGAGCTAGTGAAAGGCTGTTCCCACCGCTTCACCGCTCCTTTGTGCCGTGAGCATCTGCTGATGATTGAAATCCCATAGACAACATTGGCCCTGAGCCCGAAGCTGCTGACATTGGCGAGATGGGCCTTGGCTGGCACAACAAGATCGGCGATGGCAACGGTCCTAACCAGATGACCAGCGGTCTTGAGGTCGTCTGGACCAAGACCCCCACCAAGTAAGTGATGAAAAATGAAATGACCTCTGCATATCCCCCATGTCGGAGTTGCCTTTCCCCCTCTTCTTGGCTCAATATTTGAGGCCTTTTCTCATATGCCGGACCGGTCATTTTGAGAAGGTCTTGAAGAGACGTTGAGAGAGACTTGCAGGGAGGCAAAAGAGGCGGCGTGAAAAACTATTTTTGGCCCCCGTCGGGTGATTATGCAGTGATACACACACATGCATACAACCACACACACACACACAAATGCTAACCCATGTACCTGCAGGTGGTCCAACGGTTACTTGGAGTCTCTTCTGCACAACAAATGGGTCCTCGTCGAGTCTCCCGCCGGTGCTCACCAATGGGAGGCTGCCAACGGCACCCTCGACTACCCCGACCCCTTCGACTCGACCAAGTTCCGCAAGGCGACCATGCTCACCTCCGACCTGGCCCTCATCAACGACCCGAGCTACCTCAACATCACCAAGCGCTGGCTCGACCACCCCAACGAGCTTGCTGACGCCTTCGCCAAGGCCTGGTTCAAGCTACTCCACCGCGACCTCGGCCCCGTCTCCCGCTACCTCGGCCCTGAGATCCCCAAGGAGACCTTCCCCTGGCAGGACCCCCTCCCCGCCCGCGAGGGCGACCTCATCGACGATGCCGACATCTCGCAGTTGAAGGCTGACATCCTCGCCGCGCCGGGCTTCGACGTCTCCAAGTACGCCTCCGTCGCCTGGGCCTCCGCCTCCACCTACCGCCACTCCGACAAGCGCGGCGGCGCCAACGGCGCTCGCATCGCCCTCGAGCCCCAGGTCAACTGGGTCTCCAACAACCCGACCCAGCTCAAGGAGGTCCTCGACGCCCTCAAGGCCATCCAGACCAGCTTCAACACCGGCGCCAAGAAGGTCTCCCTCGCTGACCTGATCGTCCTCGGCGGTGTCGTCGCCGTCGAGAAGGGCGCCAAGGACGCCGGCGTCGACGTCACCGTCCCCTTCTCCGCCGGCCGTGTCGACGCTACCCAGGAGCAGACCGACGTCCGCGCCTTCGGCTACCTCGAGCCCCAGGCCGACGGCTTCCGCAACTACGGCCGCGGCACCGCCCGCGCGCGCACCGAGGAGATCCTCGTCGACAAGGCCGCGCAGCTGACCCTCTCCGTCCCCGAGCTGACCGTCCTCGTCGGCGGTCTGCGCTCCCTCGGCGCCGTCTTCGACGGCTCCAACACCGGCGTCCTGACCTCGACCAAGGGCCAGCTCAACAACAACTTCTTCGTCAGCCTGCTCGACATCTCCACCGTCTGGGCCAAGAGCGCCGAGGACGGCGAGGCCTGGGTTGGCACCGACCGCAAGACCAAGGAGCAGCGCTGGACCGCTACCCGCGCCGACCTCGTGTTCGGATCGCACGCCGAGCTGCGCGCCATTGCCGAGGTGTACGCCATGTCTGACGCCAAGGAGAAGTTCGTTAAGGACTTCGTCGCGGCGTGGGACAAGGTCATGAACCTGGACCGCTTCGACCTCAAGGTCAAGAAATAGATACCTTATGCCTTCTTTTTTTCTTTGTTTTTTGTTATGAAAGGGGGGTTTAAATCGGCTTGGAGTTTTTGGGTGGGAAACTTTTACTCTGGTTTTAGTACACTTTTGACTCTTCACGGACATACTTCTTTTCTAGTTTACCCAGAATTTGAGAATCTTCTTCAATAATCGGGTGCTCTCTGCTCGTGATGCCAGTGCTTTTATGTCTTGCTTCCCCATGTTTGCTGTTCTCGGGGCCTGTGGCTTTCATGTGCACCATTTCAACATGACATTGCATATTTAGCTTTTTCCCTTCTCTTCTCTGCGCTACCCAAATGGGTTTCCATTTTTTATCTAACCTTTCCTGAAACAATGCCTGTTGCCAACTCGCCATGCTATTTGTGCTGATAGGTGTGTTAAGTAACTTTGTATCTTCAACACGCTCACCTCTGAAGCCTGAGAAGCTATATTTGGTTACAAAGACTGGATACATACCCATTGCAATGACACTCTAAGTGTTGAAAAAATTGCGGCCTCGGTCCTGAACCGCCGATGCGACATGGAACAGTTGCATTTCTCGGAAGTCGGTTGGTGATTTCAGCGCATAATACACTCGAAAGCTTGGCTATTTGGAATGGGTTTGCCGAGTACCTCCTCTGAACATGCTTAATGTTCCTTTCTTGCTGCGTTCTTCTTTTTCATATTCTTGATATCCAATTGTTGAAGTATTGCATTGTCGCCGTTGCCGTTGTCGAAGTCTGTACTCATTATACATCCCAGTAGTTGAGCCAGACTCGTATGCGAGAGCAATTACGCGAAGTTTGCTAACATCGTAGTTGCATCTTACATTTTGCTCAACAAACATGTTCTCAGCTGGCGATGATATCCCGGGCTCTGCGCTCACATCGGTTATGTACGGATTTAGACGGACAAAGGTCTCGAAGCTGATGAGCTGATAAATTTGACCATGTGGGGCTTCCATCTTGCTGCTGTCGTTCTGCAAATTCACTCCACCGCAGAATCATACCGGTAATTGTGAGATGGATTTCTTGAAGATGATGAATGAAGTTGTACACTTTCTCAATAAACGTTTAACCTGACTTCGAATTCATCATCATAAAGCCGGCTTTGCAGCCTGGACACACAACTTGAGCGCCGCTCTCACCAATCAGCATGCTTTGGGAGCTCCGCTCCGGGGTTGTCTTGCGGAGAAGCTAGCCGTAACGAGTTCGCCGGGAATGGCAAAAATAAAGCGACAGCCGGAGACCGATGGATTCCTCCCGCGTCTCTTGGATTGACCAACAGCACGTGCAGGTGGACCCGATGAACTATTTGGCTAACTTCAAAATCGGAGTTTTATGAACTCCATTTTCTTACACTTACAAGCTTTTGTTGTTCACCCTGCTTGTAAAAGTTCACCTGCAAAGCGACATCTTCAGCAACCCCCATCTCGGACTATTTCGAAAAGGGCTGTCTGCATTAGCTGAGCAAATATCCGTGATACTCGGACAACTGTCTTTACCGCTTCTTTCGATACGCACTTCACCAATCCCGCTCTCGCCTGGCCCATTAAGCCCAACTTGCACTGCGTCAGACACAAGATGTCAAAAACAGCGGTGGAGACCTCCTCCATACTACTGAGAAACATCAATAACCCGGGCCCATCGGCGACATCGGCCATCAGGTACGAAGAGACAACGTCATACGACGAAGAAAGATTAAGATCGAGGGAAAGGGACAGAAGTCACTATGGAGGCCAGGATGCATCCAGTGTCACAGAGCTGACCTTCCCGGAAGGCGGTCTCAGTGCGTGGCTAGTGGTGTTCGGATCGTTCTGCGCTATGCTTTCTGTCTTCGGTCTCATCAACTCTGCTGCGGTCTTCGAGTCGTATTTCTCAGAACATCAGTTGGCAGATCACTCGCCCTCGGAGATTGGATGGATTTTCAGTCTGTACCTTTTTATCGTCTTTTTCGTCGGCATCCAAGTTGGGCCATTGTTTGACGCCTATGGCCCCCGTGGACTCGTCGTTGCCGGTGGCTTGTGTATCTCAGCGAGTCTTCTACTGTTAAGCCTGTGTAAAGGTACGTGCCACCAACTGAAAATACTCATGTGGCGGCTGACTGACACCGGGACTTTAGAGTACTATCAAATCCTACTTGCTTACTCAATTCTTGGTGGGTTGGGCGGCGCTCTGCTCAACTCCCCATCATACGGCGCTATTGCCCACTTCTTTGACAACCGCCGTGGTTTTGCGACTGGTGTTGCCGCGACTGCCGGCTCGATTGGCGGAATCGTATATCCCATCTTGCTCCAGAACCTCTTTCCCACACTTGGCTTCGCCCCGACAGCAAGAATCTTGGGATTTATCCTTCTTGGTCTCACGATCCCTGCGACATTGTTCATCCGGTCTCGGCTTCCGAAGAAGGACGGACCAACTTCCATCTGGCCAGACTTCAGCGTTTTTTGGAATGTGAAGTTCACCCTCTCAGCAGTCGGCATTTTCTTCATGGAATGGGGTCTATTCGTACCCATCACCTACATCATCTCATACGCAGCGAGCACACAGAAGAGTACTGTCCACTCCTACACAATCCTCTCGATTCTGAACGCTGGCTCCGCGATTGGACGTTTCCTACCAGGCCTTGCTGCCGACAAGTACGGCCGTTTCAACGTCATTCTCATCACCATTGCCATGTGTTTCATCACTGTCTTTGGCCTGTGGCTGCCGTCTAAAGGGTCTCAACCCATGCTCCTCGCCTTCGTTGCTCTGTTCGGTTTCGCAAGTGGCAGTAACTTGGGCCTTGTCCCGGTATGCCTTGGGCAACTATGTGATGCGCGAGATTACGGACGGTATCTGTCAACGGCGATGATGATGGCAAGTTTCGGGACGCTGAGCAGCCTTCCCATCGGAGGCGCCATCTTGCAGTCGGGGAAGGACGGCCAGAATTGGAACGGCTTAATCATGTTCTCTGGGGCTTCCTACATCCTGGCTTTCATCTGCTACGCCTCCGTACGAGTCCTAGCAGTTGGGTGGAGAATTGCGGCAAGGTTTTAGGGTCTTCTCATTGGAATTTCTTTTTGACACATGTGAATTTATCGGGAGCAGCTAGGCCCCAACAGCAGGCACAGCAACGGACAACAATGGTGCGTGCTGTGCAGTTCCCAAAGTATCACGCTCCCCTACACTTCCTTGTGCCCATGGCCGTCTGATAGTACACTTCCATGCCAGCGCCGGATCAAAATACATGTTGACAACAATGTCTTCATCCCGTATTTGATATAACTTCTTGATGGTCTCGTTAGTGAGAACATTGGCCCTCTTGACACGCTGATAGTGCTTTTCCATCATTAAACATAATGTCAAACGACAACTCAAAAGGCCCGCTGTTCTTGGACCGCACAACGCTTGCCACGTCTCTCATTGTGGCAGGACCGGTCGGAACGGATTTGGTCTTGATCTCTTCCGGGGAGATGTTCAGAAAGTTGTCGAGGTTGAAGAACTGCTTGCCAAAGTTTTTGTCCTTCACAAACGTGCCTGCGCCGGCCGTAGATGACTTGATCGGAAAGATGGTTGGGTCAGTCGGATCGTCGATCTCCATCAAGTGATACAGACTGAATTTGAAAACGGCACCTGCGTCTTGCTCGTGTGGACTCAGCGGGCTTGCGAAGTTTCCCGTAGTCGCAAGAATGCCAGGGTAGTAGAGATGGAGGCAGGAGACTCGGGCACTGTTGCAAATAGCCATGGCCTTCGCTGCTGTAGGGGCAACGACTTCCCCGAGCACGCCGACTTCGTGAGCAGGCTCAGAGTTCGGCTCCAAAGGTCCTATGATGGCATTACGACCATAAACGTGGAAGATGAGACGACAATCATCGGATTTATCGAGCTCTGGGAACAGTCCTCGGGTGTAGTTTCGCACCCGGTTCTCGAGGAAGTCGTCTAGCTGGGAGATGAGTATTGGGTCCCGGAAGCCACCAATAAAAATCGCCCGATGCCCTGCAAGGGACACACCCTCAAGCTTGATTTGATAAGTCGGAGTTGGAACAAAGCGGGATCTCCAGCAGCGGGTCGTTCGACCATCTTTTAGCACTTTGTACTGTGCTCAATCAAGATGAAGCACTCCTTCCGGGCCAGGAAGCTGGTCTGGCCTTGTCTTTTCATAGAGTGAGTGTGCTGCTACTGAGAGTGGGGTGCATCTCTCAATAGGGTTCAAGGGCGTAAGGTCAAAAGAATCTTTCCGAATCGTAGCAATCATCGAGCGACCTTTAGGAACAGCACACTGGCCGTCGCACTCGAGAATCTTCCCCAGATGGAACGCAGGGACTCGCTCAACGCCGAGGTTCATGCAGAACGCCGCGAATGGCGAAGGGTCGTATGCGCGGCCTGCCACAATGATGTCTGGCTTCTCCTCTTCGAGAGCTTTGATGAACCTGAAGGTAAGGTGAGTGAGAGCTCTGCTCAGACTGGTTCTGACTTGACTTACGGCTCAGGTCCCATCTGGGCGACGATATCAACGGCCAAGTCAATATCCTCGGGGGTAAGAGGGGGAACAGGCCCACAGGGGCTGATTTTTCCGTCTTTGAGCTTCTGCCGAATAAGGCCCTTCGGAACCGCGGCACCAATTGTGGCAACTTTGAACTTGAAGCCGTTGTCCTCAATAATCTTGTTGACAATGGCGAGAATTTCAGCAACGTGCTTGTCGCTGCCGTCACCACCGGCACTGCTAATGAGGAGCTTCATGCCATAGTGGGCACAGGCTGTGATGTATGGCGTTAGGTCGCGGATGTATGATTCATCGGCAACTGTCTTTCTGCCCATGCCCAGTTTGAATGGCCCGCCATCCGTGCTGCCAGAGTCGATAACAATAGCATCAGGGCGGTACTCATGAATTCCGAAGCAGAAGTGATCGGACTTGTATCCGTATCTTTGATCTTCGGTGTTAGTGTCATTGCTATGAACAGACAGGTGATGTCTCACCCCAACATGGCATTAGCCGTGAGAATGCGGATTTCGTCCGCTTGCTTTGAGAATCTGACCATGCCGAATAACTGATGCGAGGAAAATTTTCCGCAGTAATTAACAACCAACCACATGAGACATGAAGAGATTTTCCGTAAGAGCGATCTTCACACATCAGGGTATGAGGATGTGGGGATAATAAAACCTAGGTTGACGGACACTGGAACATGGTCGAGAGTGAACGTAGCATCGTGGAATGCAAGTTGACCAACAGAGTCGCATAAGACGGAGCTGGCAGGCTTCGGTTGTAATCCGCAAAGTGACTTGCGCTCGGCAAATGTCCGCAAATACATCCGTCAAGTTATTAGATACATCTCGGCTATGTCCCGCATTGAGGTGACGGAAGAACAAGCAGTGGTTGAGCAACTAGGCCCACCTAGCCCGATAACCCCGCACATCCCACCGGCTCCGCAAACCTCATTGCTAGTAACAGGTGCGGACGCAGATGTCCAGCTATCTTCGTTGCTGAGCATCTTTCCCTCCTACATGTATCATCCATCGATTTCAGAGGACATACCGCAAAACTCTTCCACGGCACAATGAGTGAAGGGAGCGGGTTCCCGCAGGCTAGAATGCCGGTGGCGTGTGACCCATGTAGGAAGGGCAAGAGAAAGGTATCGAAGCCCCTGACTCCTGAGCGACCATTCTAGTAGGGCCAATAGCTGACGTCAATCCGAAGTGTGACCGCATGTTACCCTGTTGCGGATATTGTGCGAAGACAGGCCGAAAGTGCAGTGTGCCGGATGTGCTGGATTTGCAGTCTTGTTCCAGGCAGAAGCGCCAGCGGGTTCCGAAAAGGTACTATCCGCTCACCATCCACACCAGACCCGCGGACATGACTGACTTCGACACAGATTTGTTGAGATTCTCGAATCAAAGGTCAAGGTCTTGGAGCAATCCATCCAGAAGCAACGAGCCGAGCTTGAGTCACTCTCCACACAGGCCGAATATTCACAGCCGATGGGTACAGGCCCAGCCAACACGCCAGCAGCAACCATGTCAATGGATTCAGGTTTAGCGCCACACGTCAAGACTGCGAATGATCTCCCCAGTGCTTCAGGCGAATTACAGGACCACCCAAGCTGCCCAGTGAGTGCGAACACAGTAGTCTCGCTCAGCAGAATGAACGAACGAAGCGAAAGCGGCTTGTTCAGTACGATGTCGGTGATTTACGCGATTCTGTCCGCAGATGGGAGTGACCCAATTAGCTCGTTTCATTTGCGATCATGTTTCCATCCCCAAAGTATCAACTCCGATCAGTTTGCCGTGCCAGCCATGATTGAAACGTTTATTATCATGGAGGGCGTAACATTTCTTGCGACCTACAAGAAAGCATACCATCTGCGTTATCCTTTTCTTAACATAGAAGTCTTGACAGCTAAGCTGACGCAATGTGAATCCGACCGCAACATACAACACCTGGTAAACGCTAGCCCCGCAGAGCGCTTTCAGATATTCTGCGTTCTTGCCATTAGTATTGTCATCGAAGGTCACCGGATTTCATTTGCCACCCAGATTGAAGGCAACCTCTGCCTTCTGGCCCTCAGTCATCTAGAGGAGATCTTCAAACATTCACAAAGCTGGGATCAAGTCCGGACAATACTACTTTTGGCTATATATAGCATGAGCCGGCCTTCAGTAGGTTGCACATGGCATCTGATTGGACTTGCTGTCAGAATCAGCATGGGATGCGAACATAATTCGTGCCCTTCATCAGACGTCCCAGAACCCCCAATCAGCACTAAACGAGCCGTTCTTTGTACATACATGCTGGAACAGATGGTTTGCCGCGCCTTATCCAGAGTTTCCAGCCTAACTAGCAGTGAATTTCCACATCAGGTGAGAACGCAGAATCAGCTGCAAGTCTGCGGGTCACAGCTAATACTAGCAGTCTTCTCAAACCTTCACTGTGGCTTCAGGAGAAGTTGAAGGTGATGTCTGGAAGTACTGGGTTGCTCATAGTCAGCACTTGGCGGACAGTTTCACGGAGCCTCTGTGCGAAAGCTCTATTATGCCTTTAGCCCACTCGATCAGTCATCTTAGGAGCTCTCAGCCCGCGAACTGTTCAACAGAGGTGCAGCGGTTGCTCGACCAAGAATACCTCTGCGATATGGTCTCTCTAATGTTGAGAAACACAGCAGTCGCATCTACCACTCTTGAAAAGTATTGCCTATTTGTGTCCATCATGTTACTCCGGCGGCTTTTACATGAGGAGGAGCCCTTGGTCTCTTGGATCAAAGGCATGATGGTCTACAGGGCTGGCATGTTGTGTCTGAAAAGCACGAGAGTACTAGACAGGATGTCCCAAAATGAGGAGCTGAGTGCCCCTCTCTCGGAGACGCTGGATAAGTGCTCACAATACCTGTCACGAGTATGCATAGACTTCAAGGGCTTGGCATTACACAAGTCAAGATTTGATGCAGTCTTGCATTTGTACGCCATAACGAAGAACGGAAACCACTACAGCACAGGTAATATGGAACGGCAGACTACCCGCGTCCCTTTACCGATATTTGAAGACGAGAAGATAGCGTTGCAGGCAGCTCATTCGATACAGAACCGATATCACGATAGTCGAGCCTCCCAGCCGGGCCTGCATCGCGGAATGTCACGATTGGTGTCATGCATCAGAATGGAATCAGATCAAGAGATTCGCCTGTTTCATGTCTTGTTGGCTACATCAGAATGAAGTTGGTGTCTGCTTGACTCTGACAGTCTCCAAACAAGGCTTCCCAAACAGTAGAGTCGTTCCACTCTGCCACAAATGAACCTAAATCAAAATCGCTTCCATCAAAGCCCACTCCATTATGCGTTGCATTGAGCCAGGTGGCAGGGACTGAACCGGCTGGTTGGGCCTGAGGGTCCTCATAGACGGCGCAGTAGCAGGGTTGCAGGTGTTCGGTGGGCAGATGGCAAGCAAGTTGTGCTGTGATTAAGTCGTCTGAGAAGCATCCCGGTGAGACCTCTATAGGATACATCTCATTTGAATTGAGCTGAGCTGCATTCGATCCGTTTGCCGATGTAGCTGTGAGCTGTCGACCGCTGTATACTTCGCCCTCTCTGGAGACGACTCTGAGAACTTCGCGGCAAAGCAGGTCGAAGTAGCCCACGTACTTTGGGATCAGTTGTTGAGAAGTGACTTGTTCGGCCATGCGGCTCATTGTTCTGGTGCACAGTCTCAACATTGCCTTGCACTCGACAAGTCTTCCACGAGGCGACGGTTCCTTGTATAAACTTGGTGTCCTATCTTTTCGTGCTGACCCGTCTGATCGAGTCTGGAATTCCATAATTATGGTGTAAAGGATCGAGAACCCGGCTGTGAGAACTCGATAAAGCCTTCCCGCGGTGGGTTCGACTTTGGCGTCTCCGGCCAATTCTGAATAGAGAGTTATGACGTTGCTACCCGCGTCATATAGCTCATCGATGAGATCGATCGGCTCAATGAACTCAGAGGTGGCCGGCGTGGATTTCATAGATAGACAGATAAGAAAGAGCTGTTCTTGGTGAAAATGAAGGTCAATCCATCTTCCATCATTCAAGAAACTGCTGTCGTTTGACGTTGATCCGATACGTTTTTGTTGATACTGTCTGCTTCGAGACTTCCAGCCTAAGAGTTCTTTGAGATGATTATAGTATAGCTTCCAGACCTCCGTCTTGATTGTCACGCTCTTGCGACCTGAATCATCGGCGCTAGGGTGATTGTGTTTGGTGACGACATGCCTTAGCCTTCCGAAATCGCGGAAAGCCCGGGAACTTATTTGTCGGAGCTGAAAATGCGAGATTGCTAATGACATCTTTTTCAAAGTATTCGACGGGTTTCTGTTTTGAACGAGCTCGTCCAGTGACGCATATGGTAGTAAGACTTGAGCGTCCTTCAAGTCTGCATCGTCCAGGTTTGCTGGAAGCGCAACCGTTATATCGTCATCTGCAATCCCGAATGGTCTGCCGAGAGTCGTGCTCACGTATCTGTCAACACCGTAGCACTGCCAAAATACGCGGCGTTGCATCTGTTCCTCGAATGCGGGCACGCGTTGCATCGGTCGAAGATGAAAATTGCAGGCGACGCATGCTCTGAGACAGAGGAAAGTCAGATCCCAAAGGCTAGCACCAATTGCTTGGAACAGGCGATACCGGGTGATGAGAAGAAGATTTTGTATACCAGTGATGCCGTGAAGAAGGTTGACTTGGCTTATGTCTCGCATTGCGACAGCGAAAAGGTCATTAGGGCTTACAAGGCCCTGTTCGTCGTTTTCGATGTTTTGAACGCATAGTTCCTGATTCCGATAAACCGCTCCAGTGGCCATGATGGCATACGCGCGAAATGATTCCTCTGGAGAAATGCTCGTCTCTGGAGAAGCAATGGTTTGAAGAGCTTTGATTCTCAGACCCTCCACCACATGTCCTTCGATGTACGGGTACCGGGAGAGTGACCTTCTCGTGTAGGTCTCAAACAATGAGTCTATCATAGTCGGTGACAGACTTGACAATGAATTCGATATTGTACAAGCTGTCGTGTTCCGATGGTAACTGGGAGGCCAGCTAAGTGTCCCACTCGACTTTGCTACCTCGGTCTTGATTTTCGCGAATATGAGGTCAATGAATCTGAACTGTTCTTAACGTCTCTGAGGATTCTTATGGGTACGGGATGAATTACCCCATACCGTGTTCATTTGTGGGAGCACCGATCTCATTTGGTGATGCATCAGGCCAGTGGCTTCTCATATCATGATTGCCGGGACTGAGATCTTCAGCAGCCGTCGGGCGCCCACCTTCCTTGCGCTTACTATCTAGGAGGGCTTTGACCTCTTGCTCTTGTTTCTGGAGCTCGCGAACCCTTTCTTGAAGGGACTCAACATAACTTGCACAAGATCAGATCCACATTTGCAACTGAGGGGGCTGTATCGTACCTTCGATTGTAGGGGCTCGAACTCGACACACCGGCTACCAAACAGTCCACGTTGGCTTGCTCACAGGGACCGCACCTCGGCATTTGTCCGTCACACTAAAGGATAGGGGAAAA